CCTATTTGAAGCATTAACTTAATGAATAAGGATTTCATCTGTCCTGCTATTAAGAGTCTTACAAACTAAAAGAGCTAACAAAACAGAAGAATGATATAGTCCTCAACACCCCTGGTCTTGTTTTAATATGTGCTTAAAATATAACAAAATAATAGGGTATTGCTTCCAAGATATACAAGAAATATAGCACGAAAAAGGCACATATCCCAATAGTTATGTACATTTTAATTGCAGAGTTCTTTAGCCAAAACTTCCATTTGGCAGTTTTTAAGTAAAGGAACCTGCATTTAGCTACCTGGAAATGCATGAAATAATCAGGATTTAAGAAACATAAGCGGTAAATATCTGTACGTGGTAGTGTTGTGTACATTTTTTGCCTCTAGCCCAAGAACTGGAAATATTTTGATAATATTTGGAGTAACAGAAAAGAAGAAAGGAGAAGAATGGAAGTGGAGATTTAGTGGAGAATGGAAGGGAACCACTAACAACTGGAGAAGAATAAGCAATTATGTATGACAAAGAAGTCCTTGCCCTGCCTCTTCAATCCTGTCTTCAAATGAAATCTTGAAACTTTTCAGTTTTAAACCCAGATTCTTAGGTAGCCAGATTTTAAGTTCAGCACTTACCAAGAATGAAGGAAAAAATAAATCTGGACTTATTATTATTATTATTATTATTACTATTATTATTATTATGCCCCCGACACCAAACAACTCTGCAATCTATTTTTAAGTCCCTGAAACTTAAATCCTTGAAGTCCTTTTATATAAATAGACCGGGCTTGAGTGCATATTTAAGAAGAATTAATAATAATGTGCTTTCTACCATACTTTTAACTCGAAATTGAATGAATAGCTATCTGGGGGGCTTTTTATTAAGTGCATATGTATGTATATTGGGGCATGTCACAAAAACTACAAAACAAAAAAAGTGTTAAGGAACAAGTATGTGCGGAGATACATTTGTTTTAGGTTTTTCACTATTCTGTTTGAACAGGAAGCTAAAACTCTTCAAAATTTATTGCAGATGCTGAAGAATATGGTTTAATATATCACCTACATTTAATATATGACATCTTCTACTCAACAAGAAAAAGGCTGAATTTAAAGTGATATTATTCATACAGTAGTTAGTGTTTCTCTCTCTGTTCCTCTGCTTGAATAATATCTTGTGTTTCTAGCATTTGTTAAATAAACACGAAAACATTACAACAGTCCTAAACAGAGGCAATGTTCTGGAGAGAGTGTCTGGTTAATATCTAGTGGGATCTAAGTAGAAAATAATGTGCGTAGACACTGAAATTGGAACTAGCCAAGGTGAAAAAAGGAGAGATTTCTTTAGACACTTTGACAATGATTCTTAATGAGACTTTAATAAAAAAAATCCTCAGGAGCTATTGCTGTGGCTAACATAATGACCA